GATTTATGTTAAATTGATCTATTCTCACTTGTTTTTTTGTCTTTCCGTAAACAGACAGTAAAAAATTGAAAAGAAATTTAAATTTTTTTTGGAGAGTAATCATAACTGTCGATTATACACTTATTTTAAACAAGGAATGCTAGTTCAAAGTTTAACAACACAGCAACGTTCAGAAATGAGCAACGTGACCTGTCAAAGCAGTAAATTTTGCAACTTACCTTTTTGAGGTAAATTTAGCAAAGATTCGAGAACTTGCTAATCTTAGTCCAGAAGAAAATTTTCTTGAAAAAATTTAGCTGAGAAAAAGCAATTTGGAGCAGCAGTCGTCTTTACATATTCATGATGTTTATAAAAGAAATTAGTTTCTGCTTTTCCTAAGCGTTCTACAACTAATGACTCATTTTGGGACTTTGTTAGACGGCCGATTTTCTTCTGTTATAAATCATTTCGTTTTCAGCTGTCAGAACGTGAACTTAAAAAACTAAATTGGCCCCAGGTAAGACAGGTAAAACAGAATATATTACATCGTCTCACCAAGTTTATCGATTACGTTACCACAGATAAGAAGAATCTAAGATTAAGTAACATTTTTGAGAACAACCGAAGGGAGGAAGGTTCACAGGAGATCTCTTGACAAGCTTTTCTTATTGCTATTGCCAACGTAATCGTACTTTATCACTTATATCGGCTTCTTGCTTCTGGCGCGACAAACACATAGGATAAAACGCTTCAAGATGTTACGCCACTTAATCTGTAGAACCCTGAAAAAATTGCCATCAGCAAAAAGGTTACTGTTATCAACTTTATTTTGACTTTTTCGCTTTTCTCATGGACTTGGAGTTTTAGTTTATCTTTGATTTTGTCTTAAGTTCTACAGCTGAAGTAGGAGGACATCAGTTCTGACCACAAGTTTCCAGAACTTATCAAAATACTTGATTCTGTAATTTTGCAGACACAAGATTCTTAAATAATAGCCAACTTCGCAGGTCATGTAGGGAATGAACTCAGAAATGCACGAAATAAGAAACGAAATTATATAGCAATTTAAATCATGTTTTAAGAAATATTAATCATACTTATTCCAAGACTTTTATGAATTCAGTCTTGTCACCTGCAACAGTTTCTAAGTTTTAATTTTGTTATCAGTAATTTAATATTACCATTTACTTTCCCACCAGCTTTACGCACAATACAATGTTTTTTTCTGTGCTTCATTTTTTTCAAGTTATACAAACTTCATTAATTAAAGCATAGATTTTAAAAAGTTTTTTAGTTTTTCTTTTCTTTTTTTTTTAAACCGGTTTATTGCACTTTATCGCTTGAAATTGTTTAACAACGACTAGAGACATAATAAAGCGAATCTGATCACAATCTATATAGTGTTCAGATGAACAAAGTTTTATTCCAGCATACAATTCAAGGTTGATTAGATAGCTTTATCCTAAATATAGCGGCAGGTTTTATATTCGTTTAGGCTCCATTTAAGTTTTTAACTTTTTCTTACTCTCACGTTATTTTTGCTTATAGTTCTAGCTGGAACTGCATTTTTAGAAACTCAAACTCGAGAAATTTAGCTGGCTGCTCATCGGCAATCACTTCAAATGCACTTTTTCGTTTTGAACTGTAACGTTATCTTAGAATAATAAATGGCTATACTTTCAAAATATTTAGTCTTTTAAAATTTTTTTAAGTAAAGATCGTTACTTGTAGTTTCATGAAGGAAGAGACAGGCAATATAGAAGAAGGAAATGCATTAGGCGAATTTATTGGTTAAACTATGATCTTGTGATTTTTACTTAGGTTCATCTTAAATAATAAATTTTGTTTTGCTTACTAACAAATAAGTTATATCCAATTTTATACAAAATATAAGCCCTAGATTTGCAATTGTAAGAAGTATCGTTGTAATTACTATATCAGAATTTGTCTAAAGTTGTTCTGCAGAATTCAGTTCTCAGAAAATTGCCAAATGAAAAGGATTTTTTAGGAATAAGCTAGAAAATTAATAATTTGGTGGTCTTTTACACTGTTCTTGTTCCGGCACGATGTGACTGCATTAATCCTGGTTTTGAGTTCAATTTAATTGTTGTTTTGAACTACTTTTACCCTGTCTAAAAAATTTTAAGCACTTCTTTTACAAACACAGACTTGTGTTGCGACTTCAACTAAAGTTTGATGGTTTAAAGTTAAATTCTTTTTCAATTACAGATTTTCAAAGTGTATTAATGGTATTTTCGGACTCTTATCTGCTTTTATACACTAACGCCTAAATTGCACAATAACAGTGCATTCATACAGCCGAATTACTGCACTAACTTATCTTTTTTTTTGAATGTGACAAACTTTACGTTTATTTTAAGAAAATTGTTAATAATAAAATATATTTTTCTGTATCCTGACAAATCATGCAACCGCAACAGTTTAAGTTCATTTTTCATTTCTGAGAAGCATTACGTCGTATCCGCTTGTCTTGCAATAAAATTACCAGGAAACATTGAAGAATATATATTTGACAGCTGAGTAATTCCCAAGACTTTATCAAATGACTCATAAAAACAAAATAAATTTTTTCAGAGACGTAATTGAAACTTGCGGTAGGGATTCTGACAATTCCTCCAGTTCAGATGATTATTTAACTCATCGAAAATGTAAAGCTTTCAGTTTCACAACAGTTATCATGCTCTTCAAATGTTTTTACGTGTAAATTCATGTAAACTTTAAGAAACAATGACTCTTGCTAAGAGGACTCCGGTTTTTTTGCTGCTGGTACTGTTAAAGGCGTTCGGTATTACCTTTTTCTATTCTTTTCTGATAGTGCCAAGCAAATCTAAAGCTTTATATATGGTTTTAACTGCCAACCTGCATTCTACAGAAATCAGACCCTCTTGAGAAAAACGCTTCTTACAACAGTTGTCATCTCAGTCAGTAATTTGGAAAGATTCTGAAAAATTGATCGGAGTAAACAAATAAAACCGACTGCTCAGGTACCTCAAATTTACAATAGTGAGTAAGCGGAAGCCTCCATTACACTTAAAAGGTAAATGCTATAATATAACAAAAAAGAATACAACAAAAATGTAGCTCAATTTTCTGCAAGCCCAATCCACCAAAATAAAGTAAAAATTGAGTACGGAGAAAAGATGGATCATTTTTTCCTTTTTTTCCCCCCCATTTATAAGCGTGAGGTGGTGAAACTAGCCTTGACATTAGAATAAAACAACAGTAAAACAAGAATGAGAATTCGTGATCAAAAAACAACATAAGTAAGCCTAAATTACAAAAGTTAGTCTAAAATTTTGATTCATGACCACAGTACCAACAGCGAAGGACTAAAGCTAAGTCTGCCACCATAAAATAAGGTTACCGCGCGGCAAAGCGACACGTCTTTGCTGCCTTCCCCTTACAAGTTCTCTCTGCTTCTCTGACCCTCTACCGCAGTTACGCAGTCTTTTTTATTTTTTAGCGGCCATAACGTTTCTCTAGCCGCCTCTTTATTTCATAGAACTTATCGCTTCTGTACATAGCATACTGCTCTCACCTGCATATTCCTTGATCATTTTTGCTGCATGCATTAAAGCTAATGTTCCCTCGTAGAACCGCTGCTGTTGTTGCTGTCGTTAACGATGGTGCTGCTGTTGCTGAAGGCGATAATGGTAGTGATGGTGATTGTGATGCCGATTCATACACACAGCCTCATCCAGCTTAGCAATCCACCGGGTGAAGAAAGACAACAGCATTTAGGGGCGGGTGAGGTGTGAAGAGAGGGTTGGGGTTCAAAAGGCTTCTCAAAAACGTCTGAATACCTAGAATTAGTTAAGGTCCCGCAAGCTAAGCTGTTGAAGTGTCGTTGATAAGTAAGCAAGTAAATCCGCTGACGTCAGAATGAACATAACTTCCTTCTGAACTTTTAATTTTGTTGCTTCGCTTATCTGTTTGCCTGTTTATTTGGCTGGTTTTTTTTTTCATTCACAGTAAATATCTTATTGTTTCTTTTCCTTAATGATGTATTTTCTTCCACATATTTATTATCATTCATTGAATTTTTAATGTTCAAATTTTTGTTTCTCCCAATTATTTTTTCGTTTTCAAAAAATTTCTTTACTCACTTTAACTCTCTGCATTTTGCAACAATAAATATGTATTTGTTATATAAAGAGTTTTTTTAGCTTGTTATTA